GAAGGACTTCAAAGTCCAGAAATGAACTTTTAAATCAATACAAGTATTGTTACAATTAGCTCCTTAGTTGTAATGTTTGCTGCAAGAGCCTACCAATCCATTCAGGGCAGCCTGAACTGGCTTGACTGTAGATTTATTTTCCTCCAACATCACCACCCTCACAATCAGGATGAATCCTCTTACACACGTTGCAAGCACCCATTCAGTGAAAGATTAGCATAATATTAAGGCCATCTGAAGTACAGAAATGAACAGCACCGAATGTTTTATTGTGCAGCCATTTGGTTATGCACAAGAGGGAACAACCAAGCCAAGACATCTGGCACAAATTACAATCATTACAATTCTTTGCACAATTTTAAGAACTCTGGTCAGCACCTGCACGTCGACGTGGAAGTCGCAACGCAATTCCAGAGCTTACTCTTAAGGAAAGCCAGTCTGGCAAGACTGAAGAACCAAAATACCAATCTGCTTTGGCATAAAATTAAGCGGGCACAGAATACTCCACCTTCCTTATAAAGCTCAATATTACAAGGCTAAACATCCAGATACTTTTTTTTTTTTTTTTATAACTAGAAAGGGCCTATTTAAAACATTTACTCCTCCCTCTGCTCATAAACCTAGTATGACAATCAAGAGATATCACTCTACCACTTGTAGCCAGCTATTCCCTTTTCCTGTCCTGGCTCAGAGAAGCTGAAAGCATGAATTAAGTCATATTCACTGCTGTCCCGATTCACCTACCTGATATAGGGATCCCTCCCAGACCTGTGCTGTGTTGTGGTGGGAGACTCAAGTCCAAGAAATTACTATTTGAGGTGGGATTTGCTGTGTGGTTCAAGTGCATGATGCTATTGCGTGGGAAGGCCATCCAAGGATAGCGAGCTGCTTGGCCTGGAAAACTGAAGGAGTTGTAAACTGCTCGATGCTGTTGAAACTGTGGGAACCTCTGTGGCATGACTGGAAAGGTGCTACTGAGAGAGTTGGCATTTGTGGGTGCAGCAGGATGCAGGAATCCAGAGCCTGGCCCTTTGGCAGCTGTAGTGTGTGGGGTGGGGTTCTGAAGAGATGTGGGCGAGAGGGAAGGTTGGTCTTGGACTGACAGTTCCTTCTCAATCAGGTCTGCTAAGGCTTTGCGGGTGATGTCAAAGGGGTCAAACCCTAAGTCGTCCTCTTGCTGTTTGGAGGAACCAAACCCAAAAGCCGCTTGCCAGTCTGTGGAGGAGGATACTGGTATAGTTTCTGTCGGAGAGGAGAGGAACAGGATTTAGAACAAGAATTAGTATTTATCCATACAAAATTTCAGCCTTGGTGTGCCTGAATCTATGTTGCCAGTTATTTTTCATGTAACACTTCTTTATACATTCCCCAAAGACACCTTATTCATCAGCTTAGAATCCCATTTTCAGATCAAACTGTCATAGATTTCTACCTAAGGTGAAGTGGTAGAACTAGCAAATAGTATTTTGACTGCAGAATTGTTCTGTTCCTGAACCTCTGAGCAATGGTTAAACAAACAAAAAAAAAAAAACCACCACTGTCCACCATTATGAAGAAAAACAAGGCAAATTCTTGAGCAGACAACTTGATAAAACAAAAGGAAATAAGGAACTGACTTACAAGATACTGTTAAATATTTTGAGGCAGTGTTGCAAAAAAAAACGGTTATCAGAATTTCCCTGCATTTTCAATTACTACTTCATTTCATTGTACTGTTTAAGTTTCTTATTCACGTTCCAGGAATGCGGCATCTAGTTTCACAGTATTTTTCCTCAAAAATGTGGTAATGCAAGCTGATGAGTACAAGGTAGTATCACTCACAACATCAACTCCCTCTGGTGGTAGGGAACCTGGTCTGCTGCTTCAAGTAGTTAAAAATTATGCTCAGTATCCTCTCAGAAAAGAAATCTACACTTCTGTTTTCACTCTAAAATCCATGATGACAGATAAGAAGAGTTGCTAGACAGACAAAAACTTGTCCTTTGTATTCTTATTTAAATAGCAACCATACATTTTATATTAATTATGAAACACACAAGACCTTTACTACCTGGATATTGTCTCTTACTGCTACTTAATCTTCACAAAATTGGTGCTTATAGTACCTTAGCAGCAGGTAATTTCCTTGGTAATAAATATTGTTTACAAACAGGATTATGAAATCCAGAAGTTGGATAAACATCAAAAGACGACTAATCACTAAGTAAACCAAATGTGTCCTAAACTATCATTTACATCCTATTTATTAGTGATATTTTCATTTATTTTTCTAACAGTGCCCTCAGATTTATAATTTGTGAGCTCTTAAATGCTGTTAACCATTCCCAAGAACGTATAAATACACCTAAAATGATATTTCCTTCTTATGAAGTGGTATGTCATAGGAAAGTACCTGGAAAATACAGGTATCTTTCAGTTGATGCAATTAACCATATTTTTATCTTTTCTGAACATAAATAATCTCACTTCAGAAAGAGAAAGATGCAGCACCTTCAGATAACTATGCAGGATACTAAAGAAAATCCTGAATTCCACTGCACAGCTTCTGATGTTAGATAACAGATTATTACACCAATCTATACTGATACCATGTATTTTTCCCCATTCTCAATAAAAACCTGTCACATTAAATATTAAGCATACATGTCACATTCTATTATTTAGACAAGCACATAGCTAAGAAAAACTAAAACAGGCACTCTGATAATTTAGCCATGCAGCTGGAAACCTCTGTAAAGTTTCTTTTAGACGAAAACCTTACGTCAGTGCCAATTCATTTGTAGTTAAGTGACAAATTTCAATCATTCATGAAGGGGGAAAAAAAACAGTATGGAGCAAGTCCTAGAGTTTTTGGTTCTACACAGTTTCAGATATCAGTTGCAAAACCAAGCAATACCCAGCCATGTAAGCTGTGTACGTACCTGATGTGAAGAGGCTCTGTGGTTCTGGTGCTGTGGGCCAGTCATTTGAAGTCTGTGGAGAGCTGGGGAATGGAGGAAGCCCACTAGGGATGGGGTTGGGGTGCCGAAAGTTGTCAGAAAAGAGCGACTGTGATTCTGTTACAGCCCCTTCAAAAGGAGACCTTGTACTGTGATTAGATGAACTGATGGGTATAACTGGATTGGGCTTTGTTAAACCAGGCGGTGGTGAAGGTGTGTCACTGTTTGTTATCTACAGGCAAGAGAGGATGAGAAACAATTAGGACACGAGTGTTTATATATAAAATATTCTTCACTAATGCAGTTGAAAAATTTCCTCAAAACTTTTGGCTGCAATTAGGTTAGTCAATATAAAGCTCAGTACAAGGTCAAACATAAAAAAAAAAAAAAAAAAAAAAAAAAAAATCAACTTCGCAGTAGCACTGTTTAGTTCTGTTTAAAATTATGATACACTTCAGAAAGTACTTGCTTCTCCAGCTACAAGTTGCACCGTGCCCTCAAACTCAATTCTTACTTTCACAGCATTTCTCAGCATTTATATTTATGTCTTACCTGCTGGGAGCTGTCACCATTTCCTATACTGAGGGAATCTGAAGGTTTGTCGATAGGGCTGCAAAAGTGGGAGGGGAAAAGAGACAATCAGACACTCAAGTATTTAATGTGAAATTCAACATTTGCTTTCATACTGGTAGAAATGCCTTGAAATAAAGACAAAGTGAAATTAATTAGGAGGAATTAAGGAGGAAAGAAGTCCACTTATTATTTATGAGAGGAGGTTTTTTTAAAATCATAAGCATTCCAATCGTTTGCCATATATTGTAATACTTCTTCCCACCACTCTCCACTCTGCTTGTTGACTGCCCTGTTAAGGAACAAAAGGAAAGTTTTAAACATGTTCATAGTAACTCTATGCCATTCAAAAAACCAGGACTCTCGTATTATGGCAGTATTCCGTAGTAGTCAGTTCCATCTATGCTACTACTGGAGAGAAACTTGGGAACAGATTTGTTTTCCAAATACCTAAGTTGTCAATTCCCATACAAGTCCTAAATAAATCTGGGGAGAGATAAAAGATGAGATTAACTATTTAGTCCTGGTGGCAAGTTAAGCTTCCCACCAGCCTTCAAGCTTTAACTAGCAGAAATTAGTTCCAAGGTAAGAAAACTGAGTTTTGAGGTGACAGAAGGGGAAAAATGCAGGAAAAGACAGAGCATAAAAAACTTCCAACAAACATAAAGAGAATAAAAGACAAGATAGAGCAGAAAACCACCTCAGAAAGCTATCCACTGAGAATTAACATGACTTTGCTGAAATGGCACATCTCAGGAGTCAAGATTCTGACAGGCATCTGTGAATTGCCTTAATTATGCTAAATACCACGCTAATGAAACAGTATTAATTCAAGTTCAGATTAAAATCTTTGTTTTACAACTTCAAGGTACTTTAATTTTTATTGACCCATAGGAGAAGATGCACAAGCATCAGGCAGCGCAGCCCCAAATACTGGTCCTACAAATAAGGACCAGAAGTAAGAACACGAATTTCAGGTCCATTAAGAGGCCAGAATGTGATACAAGTCAAATTACAGGCATGATGTGTTAGCACAAGACAAATATATTTAGTAATTATTTTAACTGGGTGCAGACTTCAGATTCTAGCTACACCTTGTTTTCAAACACCCTTTGCTGCTGCAAAGTTTAAATACTGCATAGAGCCACATACCAAGGTCAAAAATTCATAGGATTACATCCCCCCCCATATTTGTTCTCTCCACCCCAGAATAACTGGAGTAGAAACGAAGCAGAATTATTCTTCTCTGTTCTAAAGAAACTGTATAAGAATAATCCCTCAATAAAAACAATTTTTGTGCAAAGGAACACTGAGTCGGTATCACAAAAAGATACCCGAAGCTGAACTACTCATGACTATAAAAGAAAAGTCAGAAGAATATACTTGCAAACAAGTACTACTCCAGTGAAGGTTTACAAATACTTTCTACTCAGTGGTTGAACAGCGTGAATAAAGTCCTTCCATTTGGAATAAACTGCCTTATGTTATTAATTTCTGAGTACCTACAGCACAAAAGTTTGCTGTAGACTCTTCACTACACAATCATTCCGATTGTGGAGCTGATATTCCAGCCAAACTATTTTCCCAAGCTGCTGACAGAAAGTCACAATGCTGCAGTTTAAAAAACTATGTGTAAGACAACTTGTAATGACAATCTAACTCCTGAAAATGTTTCTTATCCTTGAACCTGCCTAAGGAGTCTTTAATTGTACGACAGGCTTCCAGCCCTCAGGAATGAACAAGACTGATTACTTATTGGCTACAATATTTTTACCTACTGTAATGGCGTGGGTGTAAAGTACAGAGAGGGTGGTGAGGCACTGGAACAGGTTGCCCGCAGAAGCTGTGGATGCCCCATCCCTGGAAGTGTTCAAGGCCAGGTTCAATGAGGCTTTGAGCAACCTGGTCTAGTGGAAGGCATCCCTGCCTGTGGCAGGAGGGTCAGAAATAGATGATCTTTAAGGCCCCTTCCAACCCAAACCATTCTGATTCTATATATTCTTTTCAGAAAAGACAAGAAGGAAGCTGCATGTTACTACTGCAATGCAACCATAGGATCTCTGATCACACCTCAATGGCACTCCCATTAAGCCTAAGAAGAAGATACCACTTTCAACAGCGCTCACAATGTTAATGCATCGGTTCAATATTGATTTAAAGTGAAGATCAGCAACATCACTTCTTGAAATATTGGGATTTATCTTATTTTCCCATCCAAACTCCGAATGATCCCAACCGATATTGCCGAAGGGTGTCCATAAAAAACAAAACAGCATGACTACAGACTACCATCGGAACTGCTAGTGATGCTTGTGGTGGAAGACAACACCAGTTTCATTCAAGGAGGGCACCAAAAGAGGAAAAAATGTTGGTTAGCAACAAGGAAGTTACTGTAAGCAGATGAATTACTTCCTTTGCATAAAGAAGCCTCAGCTGAATCTGCTGCCCTGTTGTTCCTGTTAAGAGTGATAATCAGGGCACCCTTACCTCTGCAGTTGTGTTTCTGGAACACACCACTGTAATGAAACGACAGATATTCAGCCCTAACATTTAGCTTCCTTCTGTTGAAGCTTTTCCAAGTGACAAGCCTCCTGATGTATAGCAACTAGTGTGTTCCTTTTGTGGAAGCTTCTGTATAGAAATGAAGGGCTCAGCTCTGGCTGGGACCATGCAGCTATATAGCTGTTCATCCCCCAGTTATTCAGTTCCCCTTAGCCCTTACCTGGACCATCACCTACTGACTTTATGTTAGGGTTCTCCTGCACAATCTGCCAATTAGTCTTTTTGACATGGGCTAGCCTAAGCCCAGCTTTTTGTGACCTGATCGGGATTTGAATCCAGCTCTCCAACGAGAGAGAGAGACTGGAGAATCATTCCCTCCACACCAATCAGTGAGAGAGAAAGCAAGCTATCTGAAGTATAAAAGGCAGCACAATTACCCGAAATCTGAGTCTGCACCATCTGGAGTCATGTGTTCTGGGTCTGTGCCATTTTCTAATATAGGAGGCGTTTTCCTGTGTTCCATTGTTAAACCGTTGGCTGATTTACTTGAACTCTGTAATGATGGCCAGGCATCTTTGTTATTACTGTTGGGTCTGGAAAAAGGCAAGAGTAAAAAAAAAAAAAAAAAAAAAAGAAGAGTTCAAGTTATGAAGAAAGTGTTTTTAAAAATTGTAAGCACTGGGGAAATAAATCCTTGTGCCAGACAATCCATAGGAATAGATTTATCTGGATATTATTTCTCAGATTTTTAAGTGGTGTTGACTTAAAAAAAGAATTAATAGGGTAGGGAGAGGATAGGAGAGAGAAAACTGGGGGGGGGGGGGGATTCTATTTTCTTCACTGAATAGATAGCTGCTCTGCCAATGCTGAAGTCCAAACGTGTCCATTTGGGGGAGAGGAAAAAAATAATATTAAAAAAAAGAGAACCAAAAATCCACCAACAGCTTCAAGTATCCAGATCTACACACACCTCCTTTAGAATTGTTTGCTTTATCCCGTAAGTATTTTTAAGTTCTGTAAATCGTGAACTAAATCCCTTTTTAAAAAAAGAAATAAACATTTTATATTCTAGGCCCTATCAAGCCCAGCCCCAACAGATGAAGTTTGTGGTTTACGCCTACTACAAGAGTCCACAGCTTTACTAACAGATCATGAGACCAGTCAGACCAACACACTGTTCATTCAAGTTAGTGCTCCCTTCATTTCTAGTTTAAAGCCATAATTACTTCCCCTTTATAAAGTAACATTAGCTTTCATTTCAGAGCGCGTGTTAGATCTGAAAGAAGTTCAAGAGACAAATCAAAGCTCAAGTTTTTGCTGAAAATAGTTACATTTTCTACAAATTGAAGTGAGCTGGAATATCATCTATAACCAAATGCATTCAAATAGTGTCATCCACTAACCCTACAATCTTACTATACAATATTTGCCTCTGTGCTCTCCACTTCTTTTATATTGACTTTAGCTATTTATATGCTTCAGTTAGGATGCTGTCTTTAGTGTCCAAGTGCTGCCTTCATAAGGAATAAGCTTTCAAGAAGAAAAAAAATTAAATACACATGTTCCTCCTGATGCCCCCCTTCATTCATATGTTTTTATTACATGGTCCAACGCTTACTCTACATCTCTAGGTCAATTTAGTAAGGTCACAGTCAGAATCTGGAAATTCCCATTGCTGCTTATAGCAACGCTGCTATTCAGATAAAACTGGTATTACTAGCCACCCTCAAATCTCAGTTAGTATTCTAAGATTTGCTATTCTATCTTTTCTCCATCTTTTCTCATGTACCTATACAATGTGTACACATATAAAAGCCTTGATCTGACTTACAGATCTCATCTTTGCTTTGTACACATTTGAAGTAAGTTAGAGATAGAAAGTTAATCAGATATTGAACACCGAGGAATGGAAGACACATTATGATAAGCACATCATCAGTCATTTAATATTCTCACCCTCATTTAATATTCTCACCCCAACAAAAATGAGCTGTAATCTAGATAAAACAACACTTGCAATCCATTAACAGATTTATTTTAAATATCAAAGTTTATGTCTGCTGCAGTGCAAAGTTGTCTCTACTTTAAAACTAACTTTAAAATGTCACAGTTAAAAGTCAGTTTTTAATCCAAGGAGAAAAGTAAAGAGAAAGAAACTGGTTCATGTTTTGGGGTGGGTATTTATGCATGTGGGTTTTTTGTTTTGGTTAAGTTCAAGGCTGCAGGCTTCTAAAGGGCTCTTCTCTAACAGACCAGCAGGTGCTTAATAAGTGTTTCCACTTCTAGTGTAAGAAAGCATTCATTTCAGTTTTTTAGAAAAAAAAAAAAAAGAAAAAAGAGCTTGAGGTCTTTTAAATGTGGAATATACCTCCAATTGTAAAAAAATGCAGTCGCCATGCCTATCAAGTGACATACCATGAGAAGAGTACCCACATACACAAAGTGGCACTGGGGGATTTTAACATTTGCCTTCAGCAGCAAGAATAAAGATGTGTGAGTAGGACCTTTCAAATTAGAGCAGAATTGTGAAAAAGCATTTATGCACAGTTTAAGAAACTGTTTTCTACTATTGGGTATTTATAATTAAACATTTACTATTTAGAACTCAACTTCTGTTCAATTTCAGAGTGAAACAAATCCTGCACCCCAGAAACACACGAGCAACCACAAAATTGTCAGAGGCTCTGACGAACTGCCAGAAACTAATATTGTATCAATGAATCGGGCAAAAACGGGAACCTGACTGGGTAGAAAGCTGTGAAGGAAAACAACACTCATTCACCAGCTCACAAACTACATTTTGTACTGATAAGACGGGACTTGAAGAAACATTTCAAAATCCCAGTCGCAAGACGAAATTCACTTTGCAACCCAAAAGGTGGTGCCTAGCATGAGCAAAGAACAGAGAGTGTGTTGTGATGATGCTGTTCAGCTGACAAGAGAAATTAACTCCAGACCACTTGTTGCCTTTAGGGTAACACGCCATTTTTTAACACAAGTGCCAAAATGTTAGCACCACAGACTGGCCAAGCTCCAATTCATAATTGCTTTCTGAAGGCTTAAAAGTTTGATGCAGTTTCAGATAGAGCATTCTTCCCTCACTGGTATCATTCGTTTTGCTGGGATCTAATTAGGTTTCAAATTAAGATTAGTTCAGACTCTGAACATAAAACAATCAATACCCAAACGCAGGAAGTAGTGCATTTCCTTTACTTGCTGCACTCTACCTTCCAAGTCAATACTGAACCAGTGCCCAAGAAATAAGAAGTGGCACAGTCCTTAAGGCAAGATAGAACTGGAGGCCCTGACCGCTTGCAGTCAAAGCCCATATGACACTTCCTCCAGAAGTTAAAGAAAATAATCCCAGAACACTAGCTGGGATACCATTACTCAGAATTATACTCTGCTTATTCAAGCTCCATTGGCAATATCTTAGATACAGTATCTGCTTTTTTTGCTTAAACTGTTGTGCAGTGATGCTGCCAGTGTCAAACTATTGTCTGAAAAATTCAGTAGTGGATAACTAGCACACAACATAAATCCTGCTTACAAGGCCAAGGTGTGTACAAACTGTAATCTAACTTTTACATTCCACTCTGCCCATGTATGAAAATCCTACAGAAAGGAGTGGAAGAAGTAGTTAAAAGTTTGTATTTATCTTAAATATGACATTTGAGTGGATAATTCACATAAGGACTGATGACTTTAGGCTTTCGTTCATCTTTTTATGACTATGTACTTGTGTGGACAGAAATCTTTTCATAACTTACTGAATATTCTGTTTAAGTAGTTTGTTATTTTAACAAGCAGTAAAAAGAGGTATCTGCAATTACACAGTGAAAAATATATAATTTAAGATGACAAGCAAGATATCTTTTATTTGCATATTACGAATTCTTACACAAAGGAAACTGATTTTACTTTCAATTTCCAAGGCCCTTACACCTAATGTAAGGACTGCACTATAAACCATGATGTATAAAATACAATAAAAAACACGTATCAAGACTACAAGGTGTCTCAGTTGTGAGAGTACAGACTGCATTCATCATGACACAATACCAAGAGAGCTGACATCTGGTCTTTAATAAAGATTACGTGTTAATGCAAATATAAAATACAAGGTCTTCTTTCAGCATAAAAATACCTCGTTCTGAACAAGCAATCCAAATGCACACAGCAAAAAACCATTTGTTTATTAAGTAAGATTCACACTCACTTTGTATTAGAACAAAGTGCTGCATATGTCTCTGCATGGAGAAAACCACTATCAGAGTTTATCGTGTAACAGCCACTAAAAAGAGCGGGCAACTTAGGGGATGCAATAGGAATAAGGAAGTTTTCTTTGGGAATAGCCAGAGGGAAATCATAGCCAGGCAGTCCAGCATCAGTACTTACGCATCATACCTCTGCAGTGTTGTCACTTTGTTCTTGTTCTTGTCAACTGTACCCGTAGATAATTGGAGAAAGTTGGGGTTTAGTTTGTATAATTCTTGCAGTAGTTTCTGTTCATATTCCTGGTGCTTACCCGCCTAAGAAAAGAAGTTCACAATGAACTAATACCGGCTAAGCATATTTTTATAGATACAAAAATATTTTCTAAAAATATTCAACATTAAATATATTAAATATATAAATATAAATATTTAATACTAAAATATTCTTATATAGAATTTTTATATATAATTGTACATATGCATGTCTCAAAGCCCAGTAATTCAGCTTTAAGAACTTAACAGGTCCCTCCTGACTGAAACTCAAAACAATGCTTCTCAATCTCAGCACATAGGTAATCTCAACAAATCAAAAGCTTGCCTAGAAATCACTGGGATGTATTTACCAATTTATAATTATTTTTTTTTGAGACTTCTAAAGCAGAAAAAATACAACCTTATGAGAACTTGCTCTTCAGTTCTAATCAAAAGCTTCACAATATATCTTCTAAATCACAAAGCTAAATTTCCAAGGCAGTCTGCATTTGATATCAACCATACTAAGCTCTTCAGAACACAGCAAAGAGTCTCTCTTTTAAATCAAATGTTGCAAAATGGAAGTAATTTTGTTTTGGCTTAATAAAAACAGCTGAGGTGGTCTCACTGTTACCTATCATGTGGCAACAAGTATATTCTGAGCAATAACTGATAAATCATTGTTTTTAATAACTGAAAATTTGAAATACTCTTTTAAATAATTGAATTAATTGAGAACAGTTTCTTGCTTTCAGAAATTGAGGACGCCCAATCCAACTCCAGAATATTGAATCTGGTGAGTGAAGGAAGACAGTATTTTGCAGCCTAGCTTATATATAACATTCTGTGGCCAATATTTAAAAGAAAACCAGCTAGATTCACCCCCCACAACATTTAAAGTGGCGTCTGAAACAAATTCAAGATGAGCATTCACATTTTTTGTAGGCTGTTATACCACTCCAACCTAACAATTACTATTTGCAAGTGAAGTATTGTAATGAGTTAAATCAAGATGCACAATAGAACAGTGATTTTGAAGTTGTCAATAGCTTTTATCTAGAGTTTCCAGTTACTTAAGAGATGCCCTTTAGCAAAGGAAACAAGTGCCAAGATTTATGGTCAGGCCTTCCGAATCTTAAGTCTGGAACAGGCATGTTATTATCTATCACATCTTCAGTATTGATTTAGAGGCTCTAACACTACTTGTACACCTAAAAATTAACATTTGTACATTACTTAATTCATTCCCTTTATAAATGTTTTGTTGGAACAGGAATGGAATTGATGCACAGGCAATACAGACATCCTCCTAGAAAAATATTACAACCTGGAAGAAAACTATTACTTGCTTAAAAAAAATTAAGCAGGAATATTTGACAAAATTCAAAAAACGGTACTGCTGAGAAACTCAATTCCCTTATGGGCCCCTTTAGAAGGGCAACTGTGTATCCCATTTGAATACTCCAAGTCAGTCAAACATTAAGTATCTCCAGTTTTTTGCTACTTAATTCTGCAGTTCTCCATTACTGCCTGATTCTGAATGTGTCTTTCTCTGTGTAGTCAACCTACACAACCCTCAAAAAAGGACACTGAAACATCTGGTATAGGCATCATCTTACCCAACTTTGTCAGTGTCTACACCCAACCTACTACCTACAGTAGAAAAAAAAAAAAAAAATGTGCATCACAAGCGTGGTTCACCTAAATGTAAACTTTATGAAATATACTGAGTGCTGGAAATGCTTCCTTCGTCACCCACTGTGAATAAAATATAAGCAACTAGCTCAGATGCACAGATCTGCACTGCAAACATGAAGCAGCTGAGTACAAAGAAACCTCCCTGGATATCTCATCTTGCTTAAGATTTCAGTGGCAAAAGACTGAATGTCATGGCCAGGAACATCAGGCGAGTCCTAAGCTTGTCACACAAATGTAAGAAAGAAACGAGATTAAAATCTTATATAAGAAATCGCAGTAATCGTGCTTTATTTATAACAAGCAATCCAAAGGCCAAACTTAGTATCTCCAACCTACTTTACCTAAATTCCCAACTTCACTTTCAGAGACTTCCTGGAGTTCTACCAGTTCTTTTCAGTTTGTCACAATGTTTGCTCTATTAACAATTATTGAACCTAGAATGTAAGTTCATCCACTGACTTTTTTTTTTTTTTTAAATGTAGAGAATCAAAGTCTGTGACAATGAACATTCAATCTCATTAAATGGACCTGTAAATTCATTGACACTAACCCAAACTCCAGAAAGCTGGCATGCTGAAAGCACAATGCACTTTTCAGTAGTTGTGTAATTTCCAATGATTTCCAAGAAAGCAACATGAAATCAAGAAGAAAGTTAAAGGAATGTAACCAGGAACCGGAAAGGAAGATTCATGTAAGTCACCAAGATCAAATATAACCCACTCCTGAAGAAATTAATGTGAAACTGAATTCCTGGCCAAAGTATGTAACCTATCAATTTTAAATGACAGGCCAGAGGACTGACAGATTGCCATTGCCTTCTACAAAAAGGGCTGTTGAAAAGATCCTGTGAACTACAGATTGCTAAGTGCAACCTCCATCCCTCCTAAGATTATAAAGTCTATCTAAAAAAAATAAATAAAAAAATAAAAGTTCATGGATCAACACAATCTGCTAGGAATGAATCTGAACATCTTCTGTAAAGGGGAATCCTATTTCACTAACACGATGGAATTTTATGATAACGTCAATAAGCATAAATAAAAAGGATCCAAAAAGTTTTCAAAAAAGCCTTTGATAATGTTTCAGACCAGAAATTATTTACGAAGCTGCCCTGGTATAGAGGAAAGGTTCTCGTGTGGACTGAAGCTGGTTTAAAGACAGAAAGGCAAAGGTAAGACTTACTGGTCACTCTCTTAAGATGCAGAAGAAAGCAATGAGGACTGATGACTGGCATCAGATTTGTGCAACATCACTGGCACGCATGACAAAGGAGTGAAGAGCAAGTTCTTTCTTGAAAGTACCAAGCTCTTTGGGTAGTAAACTGCCGTGCTGATAATGAGGAACTCCAAAAAGAACACCAAGAAACTTGGCAAACAAGCTTCACCAGAGACATGTCAGGTAACACACTAAGGGAAAAGTAGCCTAAACCTACTAACACTCTACTGATCTGTAACTGGCTGTTACAGCTTGGAGAAGAGATACTGAGGTTACTGCCAACAGATCTCTGAAATTGTTAGTTGATTATGCACTGGCAACCAAACACAAAAAATGTGCTGGGCATCATTAGGAAGGGCACATTAAAAAAAAACACAACAAAAAAAAACCCCAAACCCCCCAAAAACCAACACAAAACAAACCAAACACCCCCACCACCACACTACACACAAAACATTGAGGGCTGCTATATTAAACTTTGCTTGCCCCACATCATGAGTATGATGTGTCTGAGCTCTGCATCTCAAGGAGGACACAGTTAGAAGGTACAGAGAAGGGCAACATAAATTATCACAGAAAGGGAGGAACTGCTTTACAAAGAAGTTTAAGAGCCCAGAAACTGTATGATTTGGAGAGAGGGCTGAGAGAGGCAAGATCAAGTTTTACAACATCACAAAGGCAATGGATAAAGTGAGTAAAGGTTTTGCTTTCAGCAAGTACTGCAGAGCTAGGATTAGGGGACACTTGATAAAATTAGCTGGATATCAGTTTAACACAGGCAAAAGAAAGCACTTCACAAAACAGCTAGTGAACTTCTGGGGCTTGCTGCCATAAAAGACTATAGGGTTGACAGTATCAGCAGGTTCAAAATGGATTAAATAAATTCATGGCTGACAGCTCTATAAAAAAAACCTAAAAAGCCTAGACAGGAATGTACCCTCGAATACGTATAACCTAACAGATGTAGGTGGTGGGAAAAATAGAGGGAAATGAACAGGGGAAGTGGCCTGGTTTGCAAGTTCTCCTTGAAGTTTACCTCCTATTGCCATTACTTGCAACAACATATATACTAGAGGGACTGTTCGTCTGAACCAGCAGGCTGTATTTTTAATTTATGAAAATGTAGCTGAAATCCTCAGAAGTAACTGCTGGTTTGTGGAAAAAACATTTAATACACATGGACATTCTTCATTATTCTCTGGCTTACATCAGGCTAATACATGACATGGCTTTGGGGTGGACTTCGCAGTGTTAGCTTTGTGGTTGCACTCTTAAGGGTCTTTTCCAACCTACATGAGTTTTGTGATTCTATGAAATAAAATCCACTTGTACAACATTTGTGATAGCACCAGGGGTGGGAACCACCTGCTTCATGGACAGACAACATCAAAAGTTACAGCATGGATGCAAGGCTGGCATACTTGAGACTAAGTTTAAAAGCTTTATCTCATGCAGAGCGACAGACCCAGCCAGACCCAAAAGACCTCAGAATGCAACACCTTTAAGAAAGTAAAGCTATCCATTTACTTGCTTCCCTACCCTAGATAATAAGCGTTTTGATGTTGAGACAGTCAAAAAATCCCTGCATCAGTAACTATGCTCTATTACAGTTAGCCTCAATGTTCTATTTCAAAACAGCTTCTATACTCTTCACAGGCTGAATGGGATATCTAAATTCAGATAGCGTGGTCAAACGACAGTACAATAGTTAAGCCATAACTGGCCACACACTCAAAACCTACAGGAAAACGCAGATCTTCACTAACTTTTTTCAGAGATTTAAAATAACGTATGTTACCTTGCATTGGTGTGAACAAAGGGCAAGTTACTAACTCAAGGTTATCTGAATTCTTGGCTAAGAGTTTACCATCTTTTTGACTCATGAACACTCAGTGGACTTTTCAGCCTTTAAAAGCAGCGTGAAAAAACTAACTAACTGTTCACTGTCAATATCCAACTGGTTAATCACCTTTAGGATTTAAAAATTCATCTCTGCCGTAATATTCAGTAAAAGGCTACGTTATAGGCATTAGATTAAATTATATACAATAAAATACATACATGCCACTTTCATGTGTTTCCCATTCATTACACTTACCTGCATTTCCTCTTTTGTGAAACTGGCTGCTTCATCTCCTAGCTCATGTAGATACATGCAGTCTGGTTTTGGACACTGCATATTTTTTAGAAAATAACTGCAATATTTTGTTGTACCTAATGATGCCTAGAAAAAAAAAATCATTACTTAAGTACTGGAAGTTACGAATGCCTTTTACAGTATAAGAAAAAAGCTGTATTCGCAAAAAAAATAAAAATTCCTTCCCAAGATTTGGAATTCCAAATGCATTTTTTTGATGCAAATGGACTAGGAAATCTATTTGTAAGAAGTCTATATACTTCAGGATTAGATAATTAGGATGTATTTCTATTTTCATCCAATCTAAATAAACACCAAAATAATAGCCTAATAGCCTCAGTAAATATTTGCATTCATAATCATAAGAAGCCAAATAAGTAGTTATGAGTTTGTATTACATGAGACTGGTTAATCTTTTGTAGCAGGGTCAGGAAACAACTATTAACTAGATGATTTTCTGTAGCCACAAATTTGGCCAAGTCAGCCTGAATATCTGTTTATACAGATACCAAAAGGAAAAAACTTGCATTTCCCAGGCAGCTTTTGGTGTTGTGTTTTGATTACAGAAATGCTCTGTAAAAGCAAATATTCAGTTTTTCACACTGTGCTATTAAGCTAATACAGGAAAAAAAGCCACTGTGAGAGGGGGTGGTGGTACATCTTTTTCTTTGTCTCAAACTTTTGTTTCAAGGAGTTACCCACTAACCCCCTAAAACATTGCCTGCTGAGAGCTCACTGAACTTCCATGTTGTGGTTCATCCTAGGAAAATAGGTCAAAACCCAATAAACTGGACATTTTTGTTCATCAACACAGTATAGCCATAGAAATAAAATTTTATACTATGCACTGGTATTAGTGCCCTAGCACATATACATAAGAATGTAAAAATATTACCACCTTAAGTGTTCTGCCGTCTACCACCACATTATTGACGCACTGTATGGCTCTGAGAGCATCTTCTGACCGGATGTAGGTTACATATGCACTGGCACTTGGACCCTAGAAAGAAAACATACCATTTTATTATTTTTTTTTTTTAACTCCCCCCAGATAGATCTGAACATTAAGTTGTTTTTTTAGCAGCTCACTTCATAAACTGCTATATTCACAGCTAGAGGTTTTTAACAGAAAAACTGACAAAAATGGTAGAATTCACAAAAGTTTAGATGTGATACATAAAGAATGGGGAAAGAAGTGGTGCATCAAAATGTTGCTTGAAAGTTCTAAAAATACTTAATTAAAAGTATTTTATCTCTGAAATGCAGATTAGCGAATAAATACCACGTTGCTGCTTCTTTGAAGGTTCTCATCCTGTCTCTCAGTTTTTAATCTTTCTACACTGCATCTTGCATCCAATTTTGAGTCTGGTTGGACAATGCTTCAGTAACTTAAGAGTCCTTAGATTTTTGCAGTGCTGCATTTTTTTTTCTTTTTACTTCTTTAACCTATTGCTTAATCAGAAATAGGGAGCCCCAGATTCACTCTGCACACATGCATTTTCTCTAAAGGAATAAAAAAAGCACAAAGGCTTACCTGTGAGCCTGCATATGATGTGCTGTTATTAATGACAACTTTATGTATTTTACCAAACTTCCCAAAATATTCTGGTCGTTTCAAAACCTACAAGAAAAGAAAGTGAAAGTGGTATACTGGAAAGTTAATTCATACAGGGCTGTACTTCTGTGTAACTGTGCAACTATAGTTTTAAATAATAAAACACAGGTCTCTTCTACAAAGAGGAGGAGAGCATGTAGATGTATATTTGTTTTCCAACATAAAACATGGGTTACTTGCAATATAGAGTATGTTCCCACTGCAGTAAAGAACTTAAGAGGGATATTCCACATCTTATGTTGCATTTTTATAATTTATTTCGGTACTCAGGTTACCCAAACCCCACCCTGGCAAGATACAGCCCATTCAGCATGAAATATTCTTATATGTTATCTATTTATAATCTGAGAAAAAAAAATAAGAGTCACATTCATTCCAGTTTTAAAATAAATAACCACCTTAAACTTGCATTCAGATATATTAACTGCTGAGAACAAAATGCTAGATCCTGACTCACTTGCAGGAATGTCTCTAGCATATTAAGCGACTCCGTTGAATAGTGGTTACCTGTGTGGCAATGGAATTGGCAATATATCTGACACATTTGGTAGCAAAAGCCTTTCTTTTCCTATCCCTGTGATGGAAGGAGGTGCAGAAGTCCTGACTACTCAGACTGAAGCTGGACAAGCTAAGGGTATTTCTAGTTCTAGACAATAACTCGAGAAGTTAAAAAGGAAGATTTGTTTCCCCAGCCCTGTCTTCATATTAACACCAGATACTACAGTTAAACTTTACTGATCCAAGAACTTCTTTACCTAACCACCTCATCTCTCTTCTCAAGGGACAATAAATGTCTTCATTTGGAACATTCTGTAGCACTACAGAGCACGTTGTATCGACAACCAGTCACTCACTGGTCTCTTCTGACTGCTCTTCACTTGATCTACACCCTCTTGAAAGATCCTACATCTACCCTCAGCCATCATTCCAGGTCAGACTGACAATCTTGAGTAAAGCGGAAGAGTTTAAGAGTCTTGTAGATTATAACCCTGATCAGATATGGTAGCATGGCCTTCACAATTTTCACAAGAGCATGTCAACAGAATTGGAAGTGGATCCACCTATACTCCATTGTGATCCACATATCTATTTCCAGAAACAGCAAATAGCAGTCAATGTCCCCTTCCAAATCATCTTCGTTTGTGCAAGAGTTTTTTGGCCTGCTTAAGCGGAAAACTTAAATTGAATATATTGAATACTTTTTTTTAGCCCATCTCTCTCTTTCATGTTAGGAAATCAAGTCATCTCGGTGCTATATGCAATATTCAGTAAATACACATTATTTTCAGGTACATCAGTGAGAACATTGCTACCACCAAACCTAGTACAACATCCACACCCCCATACTACACCAATACACTCACTTCTAATTACTTCAAGTATTTACTGCGGAATTATCTGAGGGTAATAGCATAGACAGTTCAGGGGTTTGGTGGTTGGGGTTTTTTTGTTGTTTGTTGGGTGGGGTTTTTTTAATTTCTTTTACGCACAAACCCTCTATCTGGTCAAAGAAACCAAATACATTTTTCAGTAATAAATAGCACTGAGCCAGTGCTGACAGTTGTAAGTACTTGTTTAGAAACTGAAGTGTTATACACCAGATCAGTTTGATTTTTCTCTCCCCTTCATAATCCCCCTTTTTACTCCTCCACTAAAAGCTGCTGTTTACATTTGTTCTTTCCCAGTCTACCAAAATGCAGCCCATACTCTAAGTCCTCAGAAAGAGCCACTTCTGTTTGAAATTTCTACAGACAGTTTAGTCCAACTTAACTTGGCACGGTAGTTTGGAAGACATCTATCTTATCCTGTAGTATACTCCCTCCATAGTCTAACCCAAGGTACTTCTACTCATTAGCACTACCATCATTAGCCAACTGCAGCAGACTGATGATGGAAGTAAATAAAGTGTTCTAAACACAATCAGTTTTCTCAAATGAGAAGCTTCTTGCTGATGATGCAGAGTAACAACCCAACTCTTTCATGGGTCTTCCTCTTACTGATTTTCTTCCCCTCACCCTCATGTTCCTTCCTAGTTACACTTCAAGCGATGGCTTTTTTATTCTATCCCTACTCCCAAAAGCAAAGACATAAACACTTATTGACATTATTTTGGAAGATGAAGCCAAGTAGGTTCCCTTAAGAAGGGGAGGCCTCAGCAGCAGTGAACCTTTTCAATGCTGCTTCATTTTCTACCCATCAGGGAGACAGACAAGGTGGGCACAAGGGCATTCCAATGGTTCCTTGACAGTAAGTTAAGAGCAAGATCTGCAAGTGTGAACCACTCACCTCTGGATCTGCTAGGCGCTGAGATAGCCCTACTACGAAGACAAGATTCTTCTGTACAACCCGTACACTGGCCAAATGCTTGCGATTCTCTGATATCTTCTGTTTCCTCTCATTTTGTTTCTGTTTCTTTTCATTTTTTATCCTTTGCAGCTCTTCCTGGGAGAGTGGTTTGTACACTGCTGGATCTTCTGGATATGGCTAAATATAACAAATATAATTAAAACCAACCCATATAAGAAACAACACATTTGAAAATCATTACTCCCAATGTTTCAACACACAAGTTTCTTTCTCCTGTTCTACTGTTCTGATTTTTATGGCCAGCCATGTTATAGAAGTAGCATATTCAGTCCTTTGGGAAAGATTAACATCTTGCACATTTTCATGGAATTCTCCTATTTATAGACTTAATACTGATTTGGGCAATAGCCACATTCTAACCCAGCTGCCCAGTCAGTCCGCTAACACTACAAGCGGCTGCAACATGACAGCCAACACATCCTGTTAAGATTTCACTAACATAGCATAGTCAGCAGGGTGAAAGCATGCCCTTTATATTCACCTGCTATTTAGTTGTCTGATACAGATTTAGATACTTAAGTGTATTAACAAACAAAGTAAAGACTACAGGATAAGAAATCAAAATACAAATTCAGTGGCCCACCAAGTTCAAGACAGTAATACCATTACATGGCTCAATCTTGACATGGTTAACTTCTCCTATGAGACAGATTTCAATACAGTTACAGCCTACTGATTTAATACTATTCTTGCCATACTTGTGTACCGGTTTAAAACTTGGGCTTTGTCTTCCCTAGACAAAGGTGGTTTTTTTAATCTCAAGATTATCATTTACAGATAACTCCTCAAATACAGACATAACCCTGTAGATTTTAATCTCAAAAGTATCTAGCAGAAGTACAAGTGTCCTCAGAGTCACCTAGAAACATTGCTCTATTCATGCAGAGCATTGCTATAAAGGCACTATTTTAGCCTGGTCCTGCAGACTACAGTGCACTGTCCTTTGCCCCCAATTACTCCTCAAAGCAGTCCCACATTCCTCACCTGTTCCACTTTTCTCAGACTGAAGAGTTAGATTTCACATTTCATATACAAAGCAATGCTAAGCACAGAAGCAAGTATATAAAAATATCTCAAACAAAAAGAAGTGTTTCTAACACTGACATTAAGTAAAAAATGAGAAGTGTACAGGAGATGTGGTTTAAGGTAAAGACTTAAGATAAAGGTAAAGACCTAAGATAAAAGTAAAGACTTAAGATAAAGAAGTTAAGCTCACCAATATGTTGAACTAAGTTTTTTGTACTACCATAACCAACGGTTTCAGTGTGCAAGTCCAACAAAAACAAATTTAACTTTTTCATGACTGTCCTGTTAATGGTAGAATACAAAGCTAGTTGTTGTACTAAACAACCTGAAAAAATCTACAGCAGCAGATAAAAAAAGGTTTAGGTTAAAAGCATATATTCCTCATACTTGCATGATGCTACTGAAAGAGCCACCAAGTACTCAGACCTGATAGTCTTCTGAGTACATCCCCAAACAAAACAATATCCAGTTTAAAGAGTTTAAAGTTCAGCATTATTATGCTATACTCAAGACATCTTCTGAAAATACACTGCAGCTGACTTCAGCAGATGGCATCTCATAGTTAAACACCAAGTCCTCTGGAATATGTTTTTAGTATCACAAAGAAATTTAAACTTGTAAGGTACTTCAGCAGTAGCCCAAGTTACACAACTATGTCCTTAACATGAAAACACAATAAGGACTCATGTTACCCTTGAAGAACAGTTAAAATCATACCATTTCTTCAAAGGTTATGTTATTCACAAGTAACACTGAATACCTTACACAGATTTCACAATGTACTTGATGAATAGCAATGACCTCTTAGTAAGGTCATTTGAGATTAGCTATAGCAAATGATTATCTTGAGCTAACACACATACACATGAGGACTTCAGAGACGCAGAATAATTCTGCAAGGCATTTCACTTATTTAAAGAGCTTCTTTTTTAGTCAGTCTTGTAGAATAAAGAATAGATATTGTTTTGTTTTAGGGAAGAGAAAGACCGCTTGGCAAAGAGAGTTAATTGAGTCATCACAGTCAAGCTGAGTTCAGGTAGGAATGGGAAGAAGAGACATGCACCAGTATAAGGTAGATATAGTTCCAAAAATAAAATGGCTTGCTCTACATCAAGTGATATGGTATCACACCCACAACCCGTCCTTTCACTGATTAATTCCTTCTCCACATCCCATACTACACAAGGCAAGGCTAGCAAGTATGCTGCACTCTGGTACTGTGCAAGAAATTAATTCAGTAGGTTCAGTAAGGCTCCTGAAGGTCTAAGAAAACTAGAGTTAACAGTGCTAAAGTTGACCAGCTTCTTTCTTGCCAAGTATAGCCACATTCATACTCTCAAATGAGAAGCAAGTCAGACAATATGTTCCTTTTCTGTATAGCTATTCGCTACCAGAGGTCCTGAACATTAGTCAGGAAACATTCTGGGTAGCTCAAGCAAAACCTTGAGCAGAACTTTTTTTCATCCATAGTAAAACTAGGAGTTTGTATTTGGTACAAGAGAGATCAAGAACTGCTGGGAGGCACACAACTAAACAGCAGCTTCAGAATCAGGGAATAGAAATGTCTTCATCTCAGCAGAAAGTACAAGACTACCCGAATAAAGATTTCAATCAATAAGAAGTGGCAGCATTTGATTTGCCACCACAGATAACAGCACTTGTTTGAGCAACAGCATGATCAGTTCTTGCTAGATGCTGTAGAGCTGTATTATGTAGGACATCTGTGTTTATCACTCTCATGACATGTTTAATGCTTCTAAGGAATACGAGTAGTTGGATATCCTGACTTGCAGGACCTGGAAATGCATCTGCGTGCACCTCTTAAATACCGAGAATAAATCGGAAACCCAATCCTAAGTAGTGGTAGATGATTTTTCCTATATATATACAATGTATGGCACATTGGGTATTTAAGGCGGGAGGAAGGCAACTAAGCGCAGTACCAACATTTCAGAAGCTAATTCTAAAAAATAATAAGTATTAGAAAATCCTGTTCCTTTCAACTAAGGACATAAAGTCAGTCTACAAATAGGACAGTGAATGATTTCATCTTCAGAGTGATTGCTTCCCACAGCGTTGAAGTTCATGAACACAAATGATGGTTCAATTACAAACAGAACACGTGCAGGGAAGGCTGGTGGAACACAGCTCTGAAAGCCAAGCAAGGTGGATTGACTGCTAGTGGATGTCACAGTACCATTTCATCTGTTGTTTACTCTCTGTCTAAACCTACAAAACAGGGGTAGTACCAAAGGTGCCAGAAGCTCTCAAGTCTTGCAACAGCTAAAGTGCCAATGCTACTGACATGACACTCCCCCCAAGCTTTTTTTTTTTTAAAAAAAAAAAAAAAAACACGCAAGAAGCGTAAGTGTTTAACCTACTATCACTGATTCATTAGCTGGTAGAGGATTTGAGATCCAATCAAAGTAGCTACATCAAGTGTTACCAGCATTTATGTTCTTTCAGATGCAAGACCTCACCAATTCACTAAAGTTTAACTAACACCCTCCACTTAAGTCATACAAATCCTCTTCAGCAAAAACCATGGAAGCCACCTGAACAAGATGTGCCAGCATGGCAAATGACCAGATTTCATTTACGCTAAGTGCAAGTTCCTGGTAGTCCTACAAGAACTTCAAAAGTTCGAATGTCTCTTCTGTTGTCTCGTTTCTTTAATCAGAGATGGCCCTTGATGAATTCTCAGTCTTCCTGACTAAGTTTGTCTTGTCATTTAAGTTTTGTTTTCTTTTAGACTTTTCTCCCCACATTTTCCCAATTGTTGAAAGCTCAGCTGGGATTTATCAAGCACTTCACTTTTGTCATTCCCAGATGGGTCACATTCCTTCCACACAATGGATGTACCAACATTTCCCAGTTGTTGCCTTGCTACCGAATAGGTTCTGAAATGAGAAATACAGAGAAAGTCAATAAGGTTTATGCATAGTATACACGACACTACTTATATCAAGAATAAAAAAATAGCAATTTCCTGTATATTTCTAAATATCAATTGTTGCACCAAACAACTTGGTTGTGGGATTAAAAGCACCAGAGAAAGGAACTGACATTTGGAGACTGGACATTAAGACCAGGTGTTTCTTTTACACAGAAGCAAGAGTACGAGAAACATGGACAAAAACACGCTTAAAACATGTTAGTTTCTTGGTCATAAAATGTAGTGGTTTACTATTTCTCTCCATCTCTAACACCAGGTGCTAGGAGGAATAAAGCTCACTAAGTCAAGGAACTGGAGAACAGCGCAAAGCCACATCACAGGAAAAGCTGCATATCAAGTTATATTATTTGGTGGAAGGGCAAAGCAATTAAGAAATGTGATGGAGCTAGGCTTTTTTATTGTTGGATTTAAAAATTGCAACAACTGACAATTACGTTTGAGTTGCTTTATTAGAGCAACACAAGCGACTGAAATGGTGCATATTATTCATATGACAAGGGTACCTAGGCCACTAAATTTTAAAGAAAAAAAAAAGAAAAATCACTGCAAAGATAAAAATCACTGGCTTTAAAACCAGAACCAGCGAATCTGATGACCTGTAACCCAGCTTTTGGCTACAGAAGTCTCTTTTAAGGACAGCATATTTTCATTTTAATTTGACTAGTTAGCGGCTATTTCACTCACAGTTAAGAAATCAATTGACTGGAAAAAACAGGAAGGCTTGCTTAGCATCTTACAATTGACTACACCTACGATTCTGAAGGGCATCAGGAACTCAAAGCAGGTCAGTTCTATTTTTTAAGGAAGTACTTTTTGTAGTTAATGAATTAAACAGAAACAATTTCCGAGTCTATTTCAGAAGATCCAGACAAAGTTTAGAAAGCTTTTAACGTGTTACGAGTAACAAGTACTAGTTTCCAACTAGCATTCAAGTTAAATTCATACTAGCACCTTACTTTCACAAATCAAAACAAAGCAAATGTTTGTCTACTACTGTTACTAACAGGAGGAAACATAAAACACACTAACTCAATTGACTGCAATCATGTGAACATATTCTGCACATGCAAACGTTAAGCTATGTAACAGTTCGAGCATGAAAAGTATTTTCTCTTTAGCAGAAAAAAAACTGCAAGCCAACATCTTTTCAGTTAGAAGTAAATTAAAGAAGCTTAGGAAAATAATGGCATATATGCAATGCATATTTAAGATCTATCAAACTAATGGCATAGGCGCCACTATAGTGTATAACCAAACAGGCTTTTCCAAAATTTCCAAGCAAAATTACCAGATAGGGTACTACTTCATTGCTCCTCTCCACAAAGCAGCAATCAAACCACTGGAGAACTCGCATCGCATTCAATACCATTGGCACAAATAGCAGTTTTCTATTATGTAATTGTGCATAACATACTCAGCCTTGTTTTAATATGTTTATTCACAGTCCATTTTGCAGTAAGTATCCTGCACTGGTATACACATTAGAACCATGACATACCTGCTGAAACCACAGTACCTACTATAAACTTTCCCACAAAAATTTTGTTGCTTTGGTATTTTCTGTTCTTCAACTTAAGTTGTCACAACCAATACGCATCATAGCAGTTATGAATTAGAAAACTGCTTAGATCTTCTCCCCAGAAACTTTACTACACACAGATAGGAACTATTTAGACACACTGCACACAAAAACACATACCTGATTCAGAAAGTCCAGCGCACTTCAGAAGGTGACTTCTTCAGGCTTATTTGATGTTGCCATCAACTGCGTAGCTCAAAATGATTTATTCCCAAGATCCTGACGGGGACTCTGCACCACCATGTCTTTGTCTATGCCACAAAAGGAGTGCAGTCCTCAGCCTCCTCCATGCAGATGTCCTACAATCCAGCAATAAGCTGCAACTCTACTCAAGAACACCTTGTAGACCATAGATGAGGAAAGTATCAAGAACATAATCCTCGGCCATTTTGAAAGAAGATATCTCCTTCCTCTCCTGGAACGGTCAGTGGGCTTCATTCCAACTGTAGCACTCATTCTAGCTTTTCTCCCAAAACTGTTTTTCTGAGCGTACTGTATCCAATTCAGCAAAATATTTGCACATCCAATCAAGCGCCAGATTATTCCACATTAAAAGTTCAGCTGTGGTAGTATCCATATTTCAAAGAATTCAGATACCCGGAGGCAGTGAACAGTGTTCTGCTTCTGTGATTTTTCACATATATTCCACATACTTCCAATAATGAACAGGCAGAGATGAATCAAATAATTGTTGGCAAAAAGTACTGTAATAAATCCAGGTAAATGAAGGAACAGACAAGGAAATTCCAGAAACCTCACGTTGTACCAGAAGAATAGACATTTGCTTGTGCTACGAAAATTACTATACAGCTTGTGTCATCTACAGCAGGTATCACATGTGGAGACTGATTTGGCTGATGACAGGTGGATCTTCCTTGTAGAACAGACAGCTCAAGTATCACAGCAAATTTGTGCTATTTGCTAACAAACGTATGTTGCTGTGGGATAGCCTTCAGGCTTGCAGAGGTGTCCAAACACAGGTTAGCAGTGAAAGCTCTAGTGTAACCAAAGCCCGAAAGAGCAGCAAGAAAATATGACTGGAAGTGCTTACAGAAAGCTGTGGCAGTGCATAAAGATAGTGAGACCAAGTGAGATTACTTGGGGTCTGAAAGGGGAGCTGTAATATGAGACAGGAAGCCAACAAAGGCATAAACGGAGGATAGGATCACGATTAAAATAGCAGGAGAAAGAGGGGACATAAGTAGCTGTGATTATAAAAAGAGGAAGGCCAGGCAAGAAAGTTACAATCAAGGGAAGTCATCAGAGTTAAAGAGAAGAAGATACTGAGAAAATTTTATTAAACACTGAAGATATGGAAATAATGAGGTTAGCAAATCACTAAAAGGAGGCGGAAAATAATTCAAAGGAAAAAGCAGGCAATTTAGTGAAGCTGAAGTTTATAGCTGTGGCCAACCAGAGTATCAGCCAGACATCAATTAAGAGACAGGGAGAAATTAAGTGTGACTCTCAAAGTACTACCTTTAAGCATTTGGCAACAAGATCAGAACACTACACAAATAGACTTAGCCTAGATTTTGAAATGCTTTAAGGTTTAACACTATTGGATGTATTTTCCAAAGGTTTTACATGTTTAGTGTCCAGAAAAATATGGATTAAAAACTCCAGTGCCACAAACAAAACAAGCAGGTGCTTTATAAGCTTGCCTCATACAGCTCTGCTAGTTTAGCTGAACCTTGGACCTCAGCAAACCCCTGATGCTGGAATCCTCACTGTCCTTCCTGAAAAAGCTTTGTCAGTGCATGAGCACCCCAACTCAAAGCATTTTTTTTGGCAGTTCTCCCAGCATCAGCATGCCTTGGTTCTGATCCACAGCTTCCCCTATTAATCCAGTTCTGAATTTAACAAACCAAGACGAGCCATTGTACAACAGCTTCAACACATATGCAGATAGAAATCTGAAAGATCCAACACCTCACCCTTGATCTAGGCCATGACTAGATGAATGTTTCCCCGAAGGAAAAGGATGTCTTTGGTACCAACACAATGCAAGAGCCTTGTGATACGTGCAAGACAAGCTGCTGTTCCAGGATATTTACCTTTCTGCAAGCAGGACAAAGTCCATTCTCATCAGTACGAATACGATGCCAACAGAAACGACAGATTTGGTAGCCACAGGTGCAAGGGAAGAAGTTGATGTCATCAATTTCCAGAGGCTCCATGCAAAGGGGACATTCCACAGGGTCTTCCTTAGCATCAGGGCTGCGAGACATCTTTATATGTTCGCAGAGCAGCAAAAGTTTATAATAACTTAATAGACCAAGAAGGTCAGCACTTGAAGGTCTGCAAGAGAAAAAAAAAACAAAAACAAAAAAGTGATCAGTACTTCTGACAACTTTTCTTCTGCGCTTTTTAATATTTCAGTTCTTCACTGCCTTCCTTCTCCCCACACATTATCTACTAACACTCAAGTTACTCCCTAATAAACTCAAGTGTCTCTTCCTACTTACGAGTCACACAAGTAATATGAAAGATGGTACTGGTCATGTACCTCCCTACCTGCATAGGCAAGTGCTTCTTTAGCAGTTTATTAGCCTATGTGGGTTTCAAACTGTACAGTTGCAAAGAAATGCCTAACAGTGTACACCCTACTTTGCTTCTAAGTTCTGCCAGCTCCTTTAACTACTGCTTTCTTGAAATTTTCTACAAATCCAAAGTCAAAACTGTGAATGCAGGACTTCATGTTTAAGATCAATTTATTCCTTTGCTCAGAGACTTGGAAAAATCAGAGATTTGGAAGAACATTTAGGTCATCCATTCAGACTTTTCAGTAGGGTTGCAGAATTATCAAACAAAAATAAGGAAAGCTTCTTACTCAGGAGAATTTCTTTCCTTGTCCATCTCATTTTTTGGTCCAGAGATTGATCTCAGAGATCAGCATTAGGACCATAGCATTAGCCAAGATTTGTCAGCTACACAGCTTTCTACCTGTGTCAGACAACTTATCAAGTCATTTATGCTTTTCATCAGCATCCAATTCACACCAAAGTCCAAATATATGCATGTGGTCAAAAAAGACCCCAAACAACCCTAGTTTCAACTTAGAGAGCAGCTACAAGAAGATATTTCTGGATCAGAATTTTGTAGAGAACCAAAATTCAGATCACCGTTTTCTTAACTCATTTCTTGAACTCAGTCATTTGAGTATGCTTCTATTTTGTCAGTTTAAGAACACGGCATAAGAAAGTTACTTTCAGACTCAAAACAAGGCACAGAGTTGTCACTGAGATATTCAACCAGTTTGGGGTTTCCCCTCCTTTCTTTTTTCACTCAAGCACCACTCTGGATATTTGTAGTTGTATCTAATCTCAGCAAGCTGTCTTGATCTGATGCATGAGACATGCATGTAGAAGGGACAAAATTAAAGTGCAACAACAGAATTTTTAGGTGGACCTTTTGGAGAAAAAAAAAAAAAACAACACAAAACAAAGAAACAAAAACACCACCACCAAAACAAAAACCACTAGAAACCCACAGAAAAGCACTGAAAAAGATGTGACCAGAACTGACAGCTGGATGGTCATCCTATCTGTAACAAAATACACCACTTTACAAATAAGCAAGCTCAACACTTTTTAAAGAAATCCAAAATTCTTTTTACAATTATGCCTTTCCTAAAACATCAGTCATGTAATTCTAATTTAACTATACACACACAATCTGAAGTTCCCTCTACTTTGCCAGAGAGTTTTCTGTTTAATTTCTAACCAAAAACTACTAAATCACATACTAGCCAATCTTTCTCTGGGCTTTTAGGAACAAGTCCAGAAACAAATTCTCACATCCACCTACTTGAAGGGTGACATTTACTCCTGTCCTTGGAAATAAGAACAATAGAATTGTCTAGGTTGGAAGAGACCCTTGGGATCATTGAGTCCAACCATCTACCCTACTGTACAAAGTTCTCCCCTACACCATATCCCCCAACACTACATCTAAATGGTTCTTAAACACATTCAGGGATGGTGACTCAACCACCTCCCTGGGCAGCCTATTCCAATGCCCAACCACTCTTTCTGTGAAAAATTCTTTCCTAATGTTCAGTCTAAATCTACCCTGTTGGAGCTTGAAGCCATTCCCTCTTGTTCTGTCATTAATTACCTGTGAGAAGAGACCAACACCAACCTCTCTACAGTGTCCTTTCAAATAGTTGTAGAGAGTGATGAGGTCTCCCCTCAGCCTCCTCCTCCTCCAACTAAATAGTCGCAGCTCCTTCAACCGCTCCTCATATGATTTGTTTACTAGGCCCTTCACCAGCTTCGTTGCTCTCCTCTGCACTTGCTCCAGCACCTCGATATCTCTCTTGTATGGAGGTGCCCAAAACTGGACACAATACTCGGTGTGGCCTGGCCTCACCAGTGCTGAGTACAGGGGCACAATCACCTCCCTACTTCTGCTGGCCACGCTATTTCTAATACAAGCCAGGATGCCATTGGCTTTCTTGGCCACCTGGGCACACTGCCGGCTCATACTCAGCCGCTTATCAATTAGAATTGTCAACGTTCAGAGGACTGAACATTTTGAGACCAAACCCTTGCTCACAGATTTCTATATGTTGTAGTGTTAGCCTTATGTATCTTTGCTTTGATATTTTAACAACCACAAAAAAAATCAGTCCTGTTTATCATCTTCCACACTCTAAATCATACTTCCTTGCATGAAGTCTATCTTGTAACTCTCAGGAGGTCCCAGCTTGAGCTGGGACCCCCCAGCTTACAGGATAGGATCCATTTAACATCAGTCCACAATACTTGTCCCTGTCCTGCACATCTGTTCAGGGACAGAAATTCCTCTGCAAGCAGCCAGGAGAGAACCACAAAGAAGAACGGCATACATGCACACATGCAAAGCATCACCCAAATACACAGCAGAGAGCGTATAGCTCTGTACAGGAACGGTCGCATTGTGGTTAGGTTAACCTGTGTCCACAGGCTGATAGCAGAAGCCTAGACTATCTGCCATTTCGACTAGTTTGGTAGAGAGTATAGCCTCTGGCCACGAAGTGCAGTTCTGGTAAACATATACCACTGCCCTAGAGATAAGAACTTCCACCGTATGCTCACATAAATGTAAGGATGACAGATCAGATTTTAGAAGCAGTGAGTATAGTTTCTCTATATGGCACGCACTAGCAACAACACTGTCCTCTTTTTGACCTTCACAATGATTAACATTAAAAATGATTAACATTAAAAATTAAACTCTTACAATAATATAGCAGCTTTTACTTCTTTATCTATGTTTTCATTAGTGCTATATTTACAATCATTTTGACAGGCTCAAATCAGGTTCTGGGACCTTACCAGTGTTTTCTACAGAGAATATTAGCAGAATCTGATCTGAAGGAAGGAAAGGATCAGTTTGTTTGGAAGCTTTGTTTTGTTTTTAAGAACACATTCCCACTGGCCGAAGAGTGGGAGGGACTGTTAAAAGGCCACAGCACATTATTTAATTGCTTATTATGCAGATAACTTAACACAGATTTCTACAGCAACCCATCCATTTCCTGTAAGCTTTTCACACTTGTATAGCCGCAAAACCATTACAATACGAAAGCAGGGGATGAACTGAACAGATTTTGTTCAGTTTAGATTTGGATTTGACTTTGCCAGAGATCTCCAAACAACAGGTCAGTAAGCAGACAGCCTATTCCCTTCAACTGTGTACTCATTCCACCGCCTGCTCAGCAGCTTTGAGCCTAGTGAAACACATCCAAATAAAGCTACATTAGTACTAGCGAAGCTGTAGTTAGAAGTGCAGTTTTGAAGAAAATTCAGCCACCGCAGTAAAACTACTGAATTATGAAGTTACTATTTGGATCTCCGCTAAGAAATGTCATCAGTTCATGTGAAAAAAGTGTGACATATTAGCTAGTGCCTCTGGGATACGCAGACAAGCTCTAACAAAACTGCAACATGATTAACATTTATGAGCTGTTTAAGTTAACACTAACAGTTCAGCAGCTGCTAGCAATAATGCCAATAGCTTGCTTCAGTCAGCAAATGGCCCGTTATTTTACAACAACAAGTAAAGAGCAGCTGTGTACCATGTTTCCTGAAACTAAGTAAGAGGCAATATTTATTTACTTGGGAAAAGACCATTCAAGCATCCCATTTAGAGATTCTCCATTCAAGTGTGACTCCATTTCAGGAGGCTTTATATACCAGGGTCAGTCCCTCGACTCTACATCGGAACAATGCTCGATCTTTCAAAACCAGAATAACATGCATAGTAAGGCATCATTAATGCATTGTTCACATAGTGCTACCAAGAAACACAGAGTAACTGGTCAGCTCTACAGCTATTCCAAACAATTCAAGATTAACGTCACAGGAAAAGTAACGCAGAGATGGCAAAAAACAAAAGGCAGTTATACATGCTGTGTTTAATCCAGAGTATTTGGTCTTTAGGACCAAGTTCAAAGAGAGTAAATTAATAGCATCTCAGAAGAAGAAAAGGAGGAAGGTTGCGCACGTGTACACATGTGATACAGGCAGCTAGAATTTGTCCATACACTTTCCAAAGCACCGACAACTGCAGTCAAACAGGGCTCCGACAGCTCCACATCCTGTTTACAGGAGACTCTGCCAAACCATTCATGCACACGGGGATGGAGCGGAGGTGGACAAGGTCCAGCAGCATCTTTTAGATTTAGTGAATTTGTAATAGGTAATAATCAAAATACAGGAATACATACTTGTGTGTCTTATCCATTCCACCACACTAAGTTCCTTTCTTTTCCGAACACATATGCAAAATGAAAAAAGATGATAATTTTTCATTCACTTTTAAAAGTGCTTACTTAGTGGATTTGACAGCTGTGTCTAATCAGCTTCACTGTACAATTGTTTCTCTTGATGAAATTCTCTAAATTTTGCAGTCAGGAAAAAGAGATCCTCCTATTTGAGGGTACTCACCTAAACGCAATTTTACTTCTAATACAGCTAGTGACTTCAGTCCATATAGGATGCAGATGTTGCCTTTCCCTTTCTCACTTGAGGTGAGCAAGTTTAGCTTCCAGCAGTTTATCTTCCCTATTTAATTTAAAAAGGGTCATAAAAAAAGGGGGCAGGGGAAAATCAACTACCTTGTTATCCATTCTTCCTCCTTAAGTGCACCGATTTGAGACTTGACACACACTCCCCCTCATCTCCCCATAGTAGACACCGGAACATCTCCACTTGCTAGCCATTCATTTTAGTAAACGTGACCCTTAAACTTTAAGTCCTCCTCCAAGAGGGCAGCTAGCTTCAGGTGATAGAGACACATTCGCCGCCTCA